GAACATGTTTTCCTTAGCTGTCAGCTGATGGTGCTATAGGCAGCTGCCACAAAGCGCAGGCCACGTGCTCACATGTTCCCTCTAAGATTGGACCGATCTGTACATGCTATGCAATCATATTCTGCATAGCCGTACATAAAGGTGCCCTGCCACGCTTTTCCAAGCAACTATCGAATGGCTCCATAAAAGAAACTTACTGCCTCATGAATCTACTACCACAAAACTCTTTGAATATGTCAAGTACGAGCTCAGAGTTCTAGAAATTACCACTCGTGTACAGGAAAGGAATAGGCATTATTAGTGCAAACAAGCTTGTGTATCTCCAGAAGTTATATTGATGGCCAATGGACATGAAAAAAATGTGTGGTGAACACTATATGAAATAAACAAGACAATTTACATCAGTAGTCTTGTGATTACACAATCTAGCTTTTTTTCTTTCAGCAAAGAAACTAGAAGCTTAGAATGTGGTTTTCCAATTTGGCCAAGCATTCTAGCACCTTGAGATAAATACTTCCTGCTTGCCACAACTTCTTTGCTCCTGCTGCAGTGCAAGAGTGTCTATACTTTACTATTTTGTATAAAAGGCATTGGGCACAGCTACTTGCTTTGTGAAAAACCATCTTACATTATGCAAATGGCTCTCGGAAAACTCATCCAGGCAAGCAGACTGGTATTGCAGTCCATAAACAGACAAGACATGCTATAGCGCAGAAGTGCATCGCATGGACTTCTATGTATTCAGTGGGATGTCATGACATGGACACCATACCAAGGTCACTAGCTGGGCACACAGCATGCTGGCGTTACTGAAGCACAACCCTTGGGGAAATGTGACACATTGGCCCAGTCAAAAACACTCAAAACTTCCTGTGCCTCCAGTCTCTCATATGATAATTTGCTCCACAGCAGATAGTGACAAGCACATATTATTGCATTTAAAAAAGTTAAAGTTTTTCCTACATTTGTGATGCTGAAACAAGTAGCTTAAAAGGAAGATTGCTTTATTTTACAATTTTTTTCTTTTGTTTGTGCCAACCATGTTTGTGATATCTAAATTCATAAAAATATAGTCGTTTTTTAGGAAAAAAAAAGCCTAAAGCTTTTCTTCACGTCACATTGGCAACCATGTCTATTTGCATAGGTAGAAAAAACTGGCATGGCTGTGCTCTATTTCACAGTTGTGTTGACGGTGAAGCTTTTCTTTAAATCTTAACAGTGATATTCAAGCGCACGATCAGACTCAACTTGACATGGACATTACTAGTGCCTACTTATGCTCCCCTTTTTGACCATTTCTTCCTTTCTCAACAACAGAGACATTTCGTGTGCCCACATATTGGAAAAGGGTAATAATGTTTGGAAAGGGGCACACTTACGTGACAATGGATAAAATTTGAATATGGCAGTGCACTTCAAATGGCATGGTGCATAAGAGTTGCCAAGCGAGCACGATCTAATCAGGGAGGTAGAAAACCAGACACTCTTACATACATGAATGCATTTTCTGTGCTTTGCCTTCTTCCATGAGCTGCTTAACGCAGATGTTAAAAAGAAAAAGTGAAGGAAACAGAGACTGACATGTGGAGAATTGGCATGATTAAGAAGTCCGCACTAGAGATTTATCGAACTTTTAAGCAGGAAATTGTCAAGGAAAAGATTATGATAATACACGGGATAGGTAGTTCTCTACTGTTTGAGGCCAGGACGGAAGTGTTGCGAACCAAGACATATCGGGCCAAATACGAAGGGGTAGACACAGTATGCAGTGCGTGTGGAGAGGAATTAAAACTGCCGAACACTTGATAATGTTCTGTAAAGGGCTTCACCCGATAGTTCAGGATGACGGCGCAGAGTTTTTCAAAGCACTGAGGTTTAGGAACAGGGAGGGCAAAATAGACTTTAAGCGGGTAGACTTAACTAGAAGGAGGTTATCTGATTGGTGGCTAAGGTCAAGGCACGAGTGAAAATAAACCTTTCACTGCAAAGTACGAATCCTCAACCTCACTATTTCAGAAAAAAAAAAAGATAAATCTAATGGTTAGTTCACTAAGTATTACGGCTGGGTGGCGTTAGCCGCCGCCCGATCTAAAGGGTACAGCCACATCCATACATCCATTCATTCGTTATAATTATACTCTCAGCCACGGAGAAAGGAAAGGTAAGGAGAGGGCATGCCCAGCCTGCGCAGGGCGTAAAAAATGTGGCGGAAATGACATCATGGCGGCCATATTCACTAGGCGCAATGGTGGCATTGCTATGGTTACGTGTTGCGCAGTGGAGCTGGTCTAGCAGTGAGCGGCCGCGGCTGGCGGCGGAATGTGTGCCTCCACAGGTCTCGTGCTGAGCCGTGGCGGACAATATCTGTGCTCTGCACCGCGTTATTGGTTACACAGTATTCTCCTGGCTGTTACATTACTCTTAGCAACGTTTACAAATCCATTTGTCCATCACGGGGTTTCAACAGTGCGTAGAACAAGTGCATATTCATGTGTCGTGCGGCGGATAACGCGGATGAAGCAGTTAGTGTTCAGCGAAATTGCGTTGGGCACCATGACGAAGCTGAATGACGACGAACGCCTTGCAGGTCAGTGACGGCTGAGCAGTGTTCCTGCTTGTGACAACGGACAACGCTGTTGAGCCCAGCAAGAAGCCGTGAGGACCATGTGCACATACATAGTTTCGTGTTGCGTGTGTACAGTAACAACTTGCATGTGCGTATGAAAACACCTTTTCTGTTCCGCTTGGTACACTCTCCACCAGCATTGCATGTAATCTCAACGTAACAGCAACCAGGTTCAACTGTCACTAGCACCGTGCTCCAAGTCACCTCGGTCGCAGAACGCTGACGCCGGTGTTTCACGCGGAACACGGACACAGTGGCAGGACGCTGCGTTGGCCGCGTGGCGGAATGCAACCGTAGAAGGCGCACGACCGATCGTGTTGTCTGTACAGTTGCTGAATTAATGACGTGAAAGCACTCGCTGTAGTCAGTGTATCTAGCGCGCGTTCTCTCGTAGTTGCTTCGTTGTCAGCGAGCTGTTACTCCCTGTTATTACTTGGACGAAGCGATTTCGCTGAAGGTGTCCCGCTGGCTCAGAGTGATGAGCCCAGTTCAATTAGTTTCGGATCGTCACGACACACGTGCTGCGCGGCCCACGTGCTTTCCGAGCCAGAGAGGGAGTCCCGCCTTCTGCTTCGCATTCATATGTAAACAAGAGAGGAGAATTCGCCTAGTCAATATGGCCGACTTCCGGCTTCATCGCGGCTTCACAACGAGCGACGTCAGGGCCTCTCCTTACCTTTCCTTCCTTCGTGCTCTCAGCAAACTTTTAGGGCAATGAAGCCAAGACTACAGAAATATATCGCATGTATCTGTAACTCGCATGTATGTATCTGTAATATCGCATGTATGTAACTGCTAATGAATGTAGTCCCACTACTGTGTTCCAATTTTCTGCATGACATAAAACAGCCACCTTTATTTTCTACATGTAGCTTTTTCAGCCAGGACGCAGCTCACACCAGTGAGATATTTGTATTTGTTTTTTATATGTTGTCCCTTCACACTTTTGCATGTGTGACAAAGTTGAGCCTAACACATGTACCTCAATCGCTCAGTGGTGCCTGCATAGATTTTAAACGCTGGTTGCATGCAGCCATCACCCTCCACAGCAGTGCTAAACGCATACCATACTGGACTACTTCCCGTAGAAGTACATGTGTTGAAGCTCTGACCCCACAGCTTTCCCTTCATCGCCAAGAACTGTTGCCCACAAGTATGGTAACCAACACACCAAACCATTGACTTTGATTAATGCCACCTTATACCGGCAAAGGGGGCTTTCTTAGATCTACTGCAGTGTAGCATTATGTCCCTCACTTTTTTTTCTTTATTCATTAAGATATAACCCACCATAATTTACAGTCAAGTGAACTATTTTATAGATATGTATGTACATGATATTTGTTTTTGCTCATTTTGGCAAATGAACAGACAGCGCTTCAGTCTACACTGAACTTTAGCACTTACTGCGCTGAACACTTCGGAACTACATGTCCCACTGAAACTTCCACTGTCCTGAGACTAATTACCAAGCCTGCACTGTCACAGCATTCCTTCGGAAACTTTTTAGTAGCGACAGGGGGTGTTGTCAGAAATACTGAGGGGGGGGGGGGGGGGGGAGGTGCTACTACATCAATTTCGCATGGGCGTAACATATCGCATGTCTACAACGAAAAACGTATGCAGGTACGAGTACAATGCAGAGCTAGCATAGAAGTACAGCTCTCGTCAGTTTCATGTCAGACAATGAGGCTATTTGATATTAAAAGGACCAGAGTATCTAGTTTCGTAACATCGACCAGAAGCAATTTCCTCACATGCGTGTACATTGAACTTGTGGAATGAACATTTCCCGTATATCTTTATTAAAAAGTAACACCTCTCAGCAACTTCCCTAACGCGCAATGTTGACACAGTGACAAGCCCAATACAGAGCACTATCTAGCACTTCCTTGCAGCGTAACCAGCTGACAATTGATGTAAACGCTTAAATAAAGAGAAAAAATAGCTGCATGTCACTGCGTCTTCTACGCGCAATATGCTTTGCACGCACTGTTAGGAACTACGACTTCTACGCCGAATAGCTAGTAGAAATTTCAATGTTATAGATACTTCGCGCTCAGCGAGCGACCGGAGGTATTGTTCATGCACAGCTGAGTCAACGAGAGAACTACGATATAGATGGAGTAACGAAAGTAAGGTTTCCACATTCGCTAGCTCGAGCGCATAGATTTTGAAATAGCAGTAAAAACCTCATCAAACACATCAACAACGTCCTATTTCTGCCATACGGACAAACATCTGCGAAAAGCGATGGCCTAGGGGCTGTGCGAAATAAGAACTTCGATGGGTGGCGACAGTGTTGGTAGCCCCCTCTTATTTGCGTCTTCAGATATGTAACGGGTACAATTTATGATTGATCGACTTCACATACCCCTAGCTTGGACGTTGTAGCTGGGGAACGATGAATCGGATTGCTCCTGCAGTAACGGCGTTCGCTCAGCTGAATCGTCCCTCAGATCCATTTTGCAAAGACAACAAACATGTGACACACAAATTTCAGCGAGGAGGTGAGGATGTGCACCCCCGACCTGCAGTAGGCTGGCTGCAGCGTTGGGCGAGTGGCTGCAACTCAAGGACGATGATAGTGGTGGCGCCCCAAAACTTCACAGATGCCTAGATGAAAGTGCAAAGTAACAATATAACACACAAAAAACAACAAAAATAAATTTTACATCAGCAAAAACAAATTTAGTTTTCTGATTTTTATTTAAAGTGATTTCTGTTTTTTATTACTTATTTTATATAAAAGCAGTCGGAAAGAAACTCAAAAAACTTCAGCAGTGGGCAACATTGCGCTCGTCTCCTGCAGTGGGGCAATGTGAGTGGGGTGTGTGGTGCTGCTGGTGCACGCAAGGCACTCATCGCTCCAATACCAAACTTTTGCAATGTGTCGCTCTGAAACTTCAACTTGCGATCAACCACTGAGAAATGAACCCTACAGTTGAGTCCCACTAGCTACTTCAAGCGCTGTTTATTGCACCAAAAATAACCTCTTCTGCACGAGCTCAACATGCACGCTTTCGTACTGAGCGCTGGCTCTCAGTTGTTTCGTCAAGTGAAGAACCGTAAGCATGTGTTGCTTAGGTTTATCTCTTCGAAGAATGGTGGTGTCCTTTCCAACAGTAGTGCTATTCGTCGAGTCTGCGTGCCTCCGGTGAAATCACTTGCGTCTGTTGTACTCTGCCGAGCTTGCTCAAACGCTCGGCGTGTAGACAGTAGTGAACTAAGGAGACTGTTGCGGCAAGCAAGACCCGAACGATTTCGCCTCGGTGCTGCAGTCCTGTTGCTTTTTGTGTCTAGCTCCGTTATGATCGCTTTCCCATTTTGCATTGGCAAAGTGATCGACGTGATTTACACTTCATCTGATAACGCAGAACTTCGTGCCAACCTCAACTGGATTTGCAAGCTTCTGACTGGCGTTGTCGTGATCGGTGGTCTTGCAAATTTTGGTCGAGTGTACCTTATGAACAGCTCAGCCCAGCGGATAATCAACTCTCTCCGCAAGCAAGCTCACGCCTCGCTGATGCAGCAGGAAGTGGCCTTTTTTGACCGAAACCGAACGGGCGATCTCATCACAAGACTTTCGAGCGACACTGCGCTGGTTGGGATGTCCTTAACACAGAACATATCAGATGGCCTGCGGTCTGCTGTTGCAGTGTTTGGTGGTGTGGGTATGATGCTGTATACATCGCCGCAGTTGTCACTTGTTGGTTTGAGTGTTGTGCCGCCGGTTGCCATCATTTCATTCGCTTTTGCTCGTAGACTGAGGCAAGTGGCAGCGGACGTGCAGACGCGGCTCGCCGAGTCTAGCGCCACTGCCGAAGAACAGCTGTCGAACATCAGAACTGTGCGCGCCTTTACTAAAGAAAAGTTTGAGATGAACAGATACTCTGTAGGGCTTACTAGGTTGCTGGACAAAGTCAATACTGAAACAAGGTTGCGGGCAGTCTTTTTTGGCTGCACTGGTGCCACCGGAAACATGATTGTATTAGCTGTCCTCTATTACGGGGGAATTCTCATGTCTGATGGCAGACTTACTGTGGGAAGTCTATCTTCGTTTTTGCTGTATGCAGCTTATGTCGGTGTTTCCATTGGCGGCCTTGGAGGCTTCTTCACTGAAGCAACCAAGGCATTAGGTGCTTCAAAAAAGGTATGGGAAATTGCGGATCGTGTTCCGACCCTACCAAATTTTGGTGGACTCGCTCTGTCCAACCTCCAAGGGCAAGTAGAGTTTCACAATGTTACATTTGCCTACCCCTCCAGACCAGAGATTGAGGTTTTGAAGAAACTCAACCTCTCAGTGCCTGCCGGATCTGTTTTGGCCATTGTTGGCCCTAGTGGGCAGGGAAAATCTACACTGGCATCCTTACTCCTCCGGCTTTATGACCCTACTTCAGGTACTGTCACACTGGATGGAATCGATATTAGGGAACTGGACCCCCACTTTCTCAGAATGCATGTTGGAATTGTAAGCCAAGAACCAACACTTTTTGCTACCTCCATTTTCGAGAACATTCTTTATGGTGCAAAGAATATGGAGGAAAGCTCAAAAGAAGATGTGATCAGGGCTGCAAGTGAGGCCAACGCACTCGAATTTATAGAAGACCTTCCTGATGGATTTAATACAATGGTAGGCGAACGAGGAATCTTGTTGTCAGGAGGTCAAAAGCAGCGTATCGCTATTGCTCGAGCTATTTTACGGGACCCGTGTGTGTTGATTCTGGATGAAGCAACTAGCTCGTTGGATGCTGTTAGTGAGCGAGCAGTGCAAGAGGCCTTGAAAAAGCTAATGGTTGGCCGCACTGTGCTCACTATTGCTCACAGGCTTTCTACAATTCGCAGGGCAGATAAAATTGCTGTGCTGAAGGCAGGTACTGTTGTTGAGCATGGAACTTATGAGCAGTTGATGGGCATTGCTGATGGGCTCTTTCGCAGGCTTGTGGAACATCAGTTACATGATGAGAGAATGTCTGGGTGAATGTTAAAATCAGTGTTTCTCAGTTCCTGTGATATTATTGTAGTGAAGTGCAAAAATACAACACTGAATTCTGGCTGCTGGGCAGGTGTTATTTAATGTTCACATGCATGCACCAGTGCTTTTAGTTCTTTGTTGTTATCTTGTTATCATTAGTTAGTCAGTGTATCATGTGCACAATTCAAGATTATAATAAATAAGCTGAACGTTTAGAAGAGAGTTCAGTTGAATCAGGTCATATTTACACTACCATAAGAAACTCTGTACCTAGCTATGCTGTAGCAGTGCAATAAAACTATTTTGTATGCTGGAGGAGTTGCATTGCTTCTATGATTTGGCAAGCCATGGTTCACAGATGAGAAGTGGCGACTCAAAAAACAAGTTTCCAATACAAGACTGCACTAGATGGGGCAAAAACGCACTCGAAATACACCACAAAAAAACACCTGAGTACTCAGATTCTGGTGCATTTTAAAGAAACCCGGGCTGTTAAAGTTGCCACAGAACCCACTACTGCAGCGCGCCTGTTTATGGTTGTAGCATGTTAAACCTAATGAATAAATTTTTCAACCAATGTAGATCAGCTTGCATGGAGTGCTTATCATAGCAACATTATTATGTGAACCTTTGCCAGTGAAATTGTTCTTTATAGCAGAATGGCTGATAATGGCATGTAGATTATCTTAACTCCAGCGATAGCAACTGCTCTGGAGCAAATACAGCAGGGATCTCTTGTTTGGTCCACGAAGCCTTAGCATTCTTTGTTCTGGACAACACACCTTCAAGGGACACTAAAGAGCAATATGCAACTCTTCGCTGGTAAAACATTCATTAGAACTTTTACTAGACCCGCCACGGTGGTCTAGTGGTAATGCTGCTTTATTGCATTCTTACAGGGTGTGGGATCGTATCCTGGCTGCGGTGGTGCCATTTTCCATGGAGGCAAAAATGCTTGAGGCCCATTTACTTAAAGTTGTACGTTAAAGAGCCCCAGGTATTCTAAATTTCTGGAGCTTCACTTCAGTGTCTCTCATAATCATATCGTATGGTTTTAGGATGTTAAGCCCCAACAATTAATATTCAAACTGTAGCTCCACTTCAGTGTCTCTCATAATCATATCGTATTGTTTTAGGATGTTAAGTCCCAATAATTAATATTCAAACTATAGCATTTATCGGGTGAAAAACTTTATTGCTATTTCACGAAATAGAAGCAAAGCATTATTATTGAATTTTGTGTTCAATATTGATATAATGTCATAAATTTCAAAACATTTATGCACTTCCCCAAGTTTGGGAAATTTTTTATGCTGAGTCTTAAGGCCCTTCAGAATACAACCAAATCACTAATGTATAGGTAAAAAGAATGAAACAGACAGTGTTAGAACTCAATCTTTGTTAGCTTTGCCATCATAGATTTATTTTTAGTACACCAAGTCAATGTCAAAATTTTATTTTTTAAATTTTCTTTCAGAAAATTGCACCTGAATATCACCCAGCACCTGAATATCAGTGCAATATTATGGATTTGTAATTGTTTTCTCTCTCTCTTTTTGTAATTCAGACACAACTTCATGAAGTTTTTCAAAACTTGTTCTGTTAAGTCTGTGGCTCCCTTAGAACATTATGAAATGAATTTCACACCAAAAGCTGTTGTGATCTTGCAACAACAAATAATTTCAGGGGCATCACAGCTATTACACACATAAGACAAAATACCTGGGTTCGAAGCAGATTTAAACCTAGGCGTTCTGCATAGCATGCCTGGGTTTCTAAACCTGCATAGCAAGGCGGTTTTACCACAGAGCCACACCTGTCTTTAAAACTTTTCAGAAGACGACCCAATATGAACATCATACATGGCATGGAAACGAGTGACCAGGTGTAATGTTGTGTGCCAGAAGAGAAGAATGGCCCTGGGTATCATAATGGGTATTGTTAAATGAGTAGGTAATTGGAACTTCTCACTAATTAGAAAGGGTTCAGCCATAATTCTTGATCCTTATCATCCACGAAAGCAATAGCACAGTGCCGTAGAAATGTGTACTAGGTGTTTCGCTACTTATAAAATTTGATAATTTAATGCAAAGCGAGTACCTCGCAACTGTACTTGCTGTATGTGCCCGAGCATAACTCGCAATGACTTGGATGAAAGATGGTTCCCCGACTTATGTTCCAACTGTGTTGCGTGTTCCCCACAGGCGTGGTATTATTAATCAGTGAGGAATTATATACACGCCACAACGTTACCTTTCTGTGAAAGATCCATTTATGCCCAATAAAGTTGTCTCTCTCTCTGTAGCATCCAAATGCTATCAAATCTATGACACCATATTGAGTTCGTGCATAAAGCTCGAGGCAGCATTGCCACCTGTAATTTCTTTTTGCGAGTCTTCTAGCTTGCCAAATGTATTCTTGCAGCAATAGTGGTGTTTCTGGTACTGTTAAAGGGTCAGTAAACAAGCTCCATCTTTTTTTTTTTTTTCATTTCCAAACAAGCTTTTTTTCAAATTCAAGATTTTTCAAATATGACAGTTTTGCACACCACATAGATGCTCCTTTTAAGTAATGATTCCCGCACCCATCTCCAGCGCCTGTTTTGTGGTTTCCAACCACTACGCGAGATAAGCTTGCCCATGGGAAAATTACGTTGCACAGAGCTCAACTGGCTCTCCACACTACAGAACTGTACCTTGGCACTGTGGTGATGCAGTTTCAGCTGTGCAATTGTCATGCATGTTGCTTATAAGTCATGCATGCAACATGGTGATATGCAAGTCACATTTGCCTCATCATTGCCTCACGTTATATGCTTCCTCATTGCACTACTTGCGAGTAGATGACATGAGCAACAGGTGGAGAAAGCTGTGCTTATTATTTAGCTGTGTGCCAATTGCCTCAATCACTGATATCGCATTACGTAGGCATATCGGGTTAAACAGTCACAATGACGGGCTGTGCCTACACTGCTCTGCTATGGAGAAGGATGTGGAAGGTGAGTGAAATAAATCGAAACCAGCCGAAGTGGCCACAAATGTATTCTGTAACCTTACTACAGCACTTATTTTGCAAAGTTATATCTATTTTGCAAAGTTATAACAAACGTTATGCATATTTTCAAGAAAGGGGATATGTTATTATTTCTAATTATCGACCCACTTCTATTTTAATCTCAATTAGCAAAATAATTGAGAAACTGTTTGTTAGTCACCTAAATAGTTACCTAAAAATTTAATCTCATGAACAACTGCCAATTCAGTTTCCGTTCAGGCAGTTCAACCGACTAAACAGTAATTTCACTAACAGACTACATTATACATTCCATTAACAAAGGACTATTTCTTGCTTCCAAATTCTTTGACTTTTCCAAGGCTTTTGATACAATTAATCACAGTATATGTTGCTGGAAAAATGAGAAGCCTGAGGAATAACAGGTCCAGCATTAACCTTTTTGAGAAACTATTTGTGTGATAGAAAGCTAACAATTTATTTATCTGGCAACTTTTCAGACCCTAAAATAATTAATTGGGTATCATTAGCCCTGCTATCTAGTGTAGCGAAGGTCAGTATGGTCCAGCAAAAGAGGAGTCATTTTGTTCCCTGAACATAAATGCAGCGCTTCCAGTCGCCCACCTTTTCTGTGAGAACAGGAAAGTGTTGGTCAGAAATCCCACAAAGGCTAAGGAAAAACATGAAGAGAGAGAGCAAATTTATTTACAGAAAGGCAGAGAGGTCGGCCTGAGCGATAGCTTGCTCTTGCCTGCTACTCTACACTGGGGGAGTGGAAAGAGGAGAAGAAAGACCAATGGATGACGATGGTGAGATAGAGAGGTGAGTATGTGAAATTCTTTCTAGCCGAGACAAATTTTATAGTCGCGCATATAGTCTAGTTGCTTCCAAAAAGGTTATAACCGCTCTTATGACCACAGTTTCACTGTTGGTGTCTGGCCAAAGGCCCAACACGGTCTCATCAGTTAATGACCTACTGTGATAAAAAAAATGAAGATATTTAAAAAAGTTTAAGGACTTTTAGCATTGTGCCTACGTCAAAACGCGTCTGCCGTGGTGATTTCTACTTCAATCGCGACTGAGTAGATAGTAAGGTCAGGCAATGTTCAAGGAGCTCATTTATTTTATAAACTGTAGTTTGCTATAACTATAATTGGTTGTTTTAAGTTGTAGTACAGTAATTATGAAAAATCAATAAAAGTGGGCAAACACCCTTTCCGTAGATGGGACCCATAGTAACCTTTGAATTACATGTCCAAATTTCTATCAGTTGAGCTATGTCAGTTGAGCTACAGAGAGTGTTGCCCCATTGTTGGACATTTCTGTACATTTCATTCCTGGAAATGTTGGCAAATGCTACACATACTATCCCAAGCAGTGAGTGCAGAAAACCCTCTTGTTTGCCAGAGGACATCAGGTGACCGAAGTTGACAGTTTGACCATGTAAAATTTGCATAGGTTAAAGCAAAACAAGGAAGTTTCATTTTCAAGTGGTACAGACAAGACGACAAATGTAATAGTTGCATAAACAAATACTTAAATAGGCATTCATTAGTGTAATTTTGCATATTTATCAGAAATCCAATATAGCCATCCGATTGTGGATATTTTAAGTGCACAGTAAATTTCTTTAGATTTATTGCTTAAAGTTTTTGCTGGGTGTTCCACGCATATCGTTTGGTTATTTCGTCATGATGGCACTAGCACTGTTGTGCATAGCACTGCGAGATAGCAAAAACAAAAGTGCAGGCTCTTCAGAAAAAAAAAACAGCAAAATTGCTTGGTAGTACATTACAGAAAAGCTGTGGTGTACTACCTACAGTGGCCCAAAGCAGTTCCATTGAAATAGGATTTGAATTTACTACTGAGTTTCCTTTTGTGAAGTCTCGCTTTAAGCAAGACTACAACAGGTTATGCACATCAAGCACCTCTGCGTGTCATGCGAGAGAAAAACAAAGCTGTGGTGTACTACCTATAGTGGCCCAAAGCAATTCCATTGAAATAGGATTTGAATTTACTACCGAGTTTCCTTTTGTGAAGTCTCGCTTTAAGCAACATTACAACAGGTTATGCACATCAAGCACCTCCGCAAGTGTCATGCGAGAGAAAATGAGGATGAAGAAGTTACGTCGTAAAACCTGCTGCTGCAGCATCTGTTCACCTGAGAGATTGCTGTACTCCTGCTCAATGTACTTCATTTGGTCAACCAAAGATATTAAGGAATTTGCAAATAACAAACTACAGGCTTGTGCCTGCTCCTGGCAGCTACAACTCGTCAATCTCTGCAGAGTGCCCTTCCACAAACATAGGATACATTTTAGCACACGATTACCATGCAATGGCAAGAGCAGTCAAATTTTATTTTCTCCATGCTAAAAGAAAAACAGATAAAAAAAGAAATGCAGAACGACTGCTTTGTGAGATCTGTGGGTTTACTAGGAACCACTACAGCTGAAGCATTGTGTTCATGAGTCCACCAAACTTGGGTGTTCTAGGTTGTGCTACATAACCAGAATTAATGAAATAAAGGCAAAAAGTGGGGAGGTGGTATTTTTGGAAAGAACAATTTCCAACGTAGCATAAAAGATAACTGGTTGTGACATTTTCTTTAGACAGAAAATAATTTAACGTGACACATACAACAATTATGTCCGTTGGTATACCTTTTTCTTACAACTCATGATTAGCATAATAACAGTAGCATTACATAAGCTAAAGAAAAAGTGAATCATGCTGATGTGTATGAAAGGTTTTGATGTGAAAATGTGCTCTGTGTGTTGCACCACAAAATCAAAGGCCAGACATTTACAGAATGGTGATGTTGCTTTGGTTATATAAACTGTGTAGCTCAGGCAGCTGGTGCATTTGCAGCAATACAAAATGACAGCGTTTCTGTCATGTTTGAAGTTCAGTCACCTGTTTCATGACTTTATATTGACATTACCTCATTCTGACGGTGGACTACAGGACAGACAAAACATTGGAACATTATTTAACAATGTCCACAATTTCACAAGATTCTAAGCTGTATGTACAGCTAGGTTAAATGTAGGCTCAATCATGTTCACTTTAGCCCATTATCAAACAAAGTTCATACCTGCAGTTTTATCCAAATACTAGAAATGCAGCTCCTTACTTTAAGAAAGAAATTTCAAAAATTGCTTATGATGTAAAGGTGCTCCAGATGAACCTACATTCACAACTACATTGTTCACGCCACAGCTGCAGACATAATAATCAGCACAAAAAAAAATTCTTCCCGTACATAGTGCTGGCTGTAAGCATGTTTCTCCCACTGCTGAATGTCACAGCTGGTAGCACTATAGACTGTGCGCAGCTCCAGGCAGGCTCAAACACTATAAAAATGATGTTATAAGTCTGTATCACAGTTCTCCTTGAAGTTATGTAGTACTTTAACACTGCTGATCAGCTTAAAGATACAACAACTTGACCAGGAAAGTGTTTCAGTGATGTACAAGTGATCTGCTACTGTCACAATGTAATGCAAATACACCCTACCTTTTGAGCAGGTGATATGAAAACTATATACGAGAAGCTTCAGAGCAATTACAATTCTCAGTCAAGTTAGTATGTGTAGATTCTGCAATACTTTTTGCTTCAGAAAACCAAATTCCTGTGACAGTGCGAAGCACCATATAGAGAATGATACATTTTATATAATTATCAACATGACCCACTGTGCAGGTATGCATGCACGTGATACATGTGCACATCCATGCATCCATGCACACACACAAAAAAACAAAAACTGTTTCAGCTACCACGGGCGGCTTAACCAACTCTAATACCAATGTAATACATGTATACCTATACTCATTAAGCATTTTTTATGAAACTACTACAGAAAATGAGCACTGGTTTATAAGTGACACTGTTATCACATTCCATCTTGTACGTAATTATGCAATATATATATAAATGTAGGTGTAGTACAACTTGTAACTTTACCTATGACAAATGTACAAGATTTTTCAGTGAACAATGAATATGCACAGTGCAGCTATATATGTTGCAGGACTACAAGACCAGCGATGTATATAAGGATTAACACATGTAAACACCTTGCGAAAAGGATGCTTTTCGAGTTTAGTGAATTGGAGCATCTATCTGTGCGTAGAAATTGATATGCATGAAAAATAAATAAACGTAGAAATGATAACAAACAAGTGAATCGGGGTAATCTTGTATATCATTTGTAGTATCTCGAAACCATTGTGATCCAAATTTTATCAGACCTGTGCTATAGTGACAGCGTAAACCTGAATTAAATAACATTACTACAAAGATCACAAATGGTACGCACCTACACTATAGTATTTAAAATACGTTTCTAATATTAAAAAAGTAACGAAAGTCACGATGTGCTACTTAACTAAAATGGCAACCGCAACAGTTTAAAAAAATGAATTCCCCTGTGGCGTGCACAGCAAAAACTGACAAGCAGCAGTAAACATACTATATAGATAAAAATTACAGACTAGCTCCTAAATTGGTCAGAAACCACTTTGTACCATGACTGGGCTGCAACGCTTGTCAGGGCAGAGCTGCCCCATGGTAATTGGCCCATAAACATAAGGTCACAAACAACAGCAGGTAGCAACATGAGAGCCATCGTTGTTATACAGCTCAGCTCACAAGGATTCGCGTAGCTTTTGCGGCCTTGTTTCCATACCTCATGTACACCAGAGAGGCTTAGGTGCCACCCACACTCCTCCAAATATGTGCCGTCACAGCTAGAGCACCCCCCTGAAGGAATCGTACGAAGTTGTCCCCAACAAGAGGCCCAAGAGCATAGATTCCTTCGAGAGCCTCAGTTTCGTGAGTGTATTGATGAATTTGAATTGGGTTAGCCCTGCAGTCTACAGGCAGCCCAGCTACAAGGCCTAGCTGTGTGCCTGCCAAAGGCAGAAAGTCAAGGTTTGGGTGGGATCCAATCAGTACCAGCACGTGGGAGACATCTCGAATGTCTGAGTGCGAATCTAATTCTATTCGGCCGTCACTGTGGATGCAGCACACTTGGCAATGGGCATATGCTTTGTAGCCCGGGTAATGCTCAGCTGAGGACATCATCTGGTGTACCTTATGGTACTCTGGATACATGGACCGTGGCAGCTGGTTAAATACCAGATCAGGATCATCCACCTTTTTGCGAAACACATGACAAACATCAACACCATGGAAACGTGCCGCAATTACAGCATCTGCGGCTGACAGCCCACTCCCTACAACAGCTAATTTCTTGATGGAACTCTTGGTGTCACGCAAGAGAACTTCCAGCCGTCCCAAATCATGAGACACAAAAGGCAAGTCTTCTCCTGGAATATTCAGTCGTCTTGGCGAATCGTAGTGGCCAGCTGCTGGTATATTCCTTTGCAATGTTTTCTCCAGAATCATACTTTTTATATGACTCTGTGACTCTGTGCTGCATGTCTCTGCCAATGCACCAACCACATTTTCCACCTCATTTCATGGTTAGTACATTAAAACAAAGGTGCTATCCGAGGACGTTTATCAATGACACACAAAAACGCATACAAAAAGGAACAAGGAGTGTGCCGTAGGAAAACAACATCTATTGTTTCCATTCCTTATGTTCAGGGTGCACCAGAATTCGTTCAGAAAGCACTTTGTCCACTGGGCATTAAAACCATTTTCAAGCCTCATTGCACTTTGGGAAACGTGTTCACCAAGCCCAAAGACTGTGCCCTTGTGAACGATCAAAGTGAGTCGTTTACAAGTTACCGTGCGGTGACTGCGATGCCACATACATTGGCAAAACAAGCAGGATGCAGTCAAGGCCCAAGGAGCCCAAAGGAGACATCGCTATAGCCACCCGTGTCATGCATTCCAAGATAGAACTTGTTGAACACTGCTGGACAATGGGGCACGTCTTCAGCTTGAGTAATGCAACGACACTAGCTCGAAAACAAAGGTTTCATTCGTCGTGACAAGTCAACATGCAACAACAAACACAGCCCCCTAGCAGATGTGTACTGTTATGCCACAGGCATGATCCTCCTTTGGGAGTGCTTCTTTCCACAAGTACGAGCACAGTTCAGGCAAACTCTTCCCCCCCCCTCGCCCTAGCCCCACCTTCCACGCAGAAGGCAGCACCGTGCAGTTCTGGGCAATGCGTCGCCTCCTCCGCCGAGCCACCGTGCCGTTCCAGGGAAAGCTTCACCTTTTCCTCCAAGCGCTGGGAACTGGTCTCGTAGAAGAGACCAAAACGTTATTTAAGGTTGTGCCGGCCACATGTTCGAGAATTTTCACCTAAGCCGACATTGTCGTGCCGGCCGGCTCTGTACGAACTATAAAGTGCTATAGTAAACGTTGCTACCTGTTGCTGTTTTCAAAACCGATTGCCTCCCTATTCCGCCTTTGGGCGAAGGCTTCAGCGAAGTCCGTTCGACTGTTCGCCGCTTTCGGCTACTGCTACCATTGCAAGAAAAAGGAATTCCTAACAGTGATGGCAGCGGTGGGATTCTATCAAACCCGAATTTATAACAGTGGTTGGCAGCTTCGGAATACATTAACCCTGTTCTCAAAGTTTGCTGCTCTGGGATACGCTATCCTACGCTTGGCAAGTCTGATCGGATCTTTGAGCACGAGGAATACTGCCGTGATAGCATCTGGCTACGCTGGGATATGCTACCCTATGTTTGGCACGCCAGATCGGACCCCTGGAAGCTCGAGCACGACCCACCTGATATCGGCGTTTGGATACGCTGGAATACGTTACCCCTGTCCTCGATGCTTCACTGCTGTGGAACCCGCTATCTTGATCTCAACTGCTCGGAGTTGGAGTGAATTCCTGCAGGCTCGAGGACACCCATGACACTGTTCGACAGCAGCCACAAGTTGGACCATCGTCGGCTACTTTGGTTAGGTGAGTGCCCAACGTTTATGGTTCAGTTCGCCAGACCTCTCTAGGACAGGCAGATGTTAGGGGAATGTTTTTTGTTTTGTTGCTTATAATTTCTTATTCACGTGCTTTAAACCATGAGATTAGCTTTAGAGTACGGTGAATATCAGTAGTAAAGCATCACGAGGGACGAGATTGCGATGGAGCAGTACCTTGTGGAGGACCTCCTTGCAATTTGTGGAGCCATGGGGATTTCTGCCGAATTAGCTAAAACAAGGGAAGCGATTCTCGAGGTGATGCGGCAGAGAATGTGACTGCCGGTGAGGCTGATGAGTTTTGGGAGCTCATTTGTGAGCAAAAGCAGAAAGCCGAAAAGAGTTGCGAAGAGCTCGACGGTCAAAGACGCGAACAATGGGAAGCCGAGGCAAGTTGCAAAAGAAGGGAGCATGCACTCAAAATGAGAGAGCTTGATTGTAAAATTCAAGCACTTTAGTGTCAGCAAGCGAAATGCCAGCTCCGAAACTTTCAGATAGACGAGAACGTTGCACATTTTCTCGACGATTTTGAGGTTGTCTGCAGTAATGTTAGTGTTAGTCGCGACCTTTGGGTGGAAAGGCTCGTCACGTTGTGTCCGCACAAGATTGCGCACATTTTGCGTTGCTTACCTTCTGAGGAAGCAGGAGACTTTAGTCATGCTAGATATGCTTTGATAAGACATTTTTTTCTTTCAAATCGTGCTGAAAGTCAGATACAGACAGTGCTGAAACACGTCCTAAGGCGCCAGAGGTAGACGACCGCGGAAAAGAGCGAGAGAATGAGGCGCGACGTAGAGCGCTGGAGGATGAGGCGAGCTGTAGAACGATGGAGGCTGAGGCCCGTCGTGTAGCACTTGAAGGTGAAACTTGCCAAAAAGCGTTAGATGAAAAGGAAAGACGGAAAGTGCAAGAGGCTGAGGCTCGTCGCTATGCGCACGCCGCTGAAGTGCGTCAGAGAAAGCAGGACGCTGAGGAAAGTCGTGAGGCATCTGACGTTGAGGCTCGTCACGAGGTGCAGGACACCGAAGAGCGTCAGACAAAACCGGACACAGAGGAGCATCACGAGGAGTTTGGGGCGGAGGCCCATGGGAAGCCTAGGGACGCAGAGGCGCATCGTAAAGCGCTATAGACGGGGCCGCTTCTCCGAGCACATGATCGGGATGAATCACGTCAAATAGAGCAGGAGGCTGGCTACAAAGGCCTGGGAACACGGTTTATTCTGGAAAGGGAGAGAGAATCCTTACAAACTGAAGAGACACCTTCAGGCGAGTTGATTGGCTTTAAAGGCATCAGTAATCCCATTTTGTCGCAAGCAGAGACAGCTAGCAACGAGCCCGAGGAAAAGCTAGCTAACCAACCTGGAGCTTTGACTCCACAAAGTGAAGGCAGCGTACTTGCGAGTAAGAATGCCAGGAGCTGTGAGCACGGCGGTCAGTTCCATTGGGAAGAGTTGCCGGCGAAAACATAAGGCGAAGTCGAATAACGCCAAACACGCGAAAGTGGCTAAGCGCGATGGCTCTCAAGATGCCTTACTCAATGTCAGGGCTGATGTCGGGACAAAGCTCAATAAAAGAAGGTTGAAGTTCAGGACACCGCTGAGATCTAGATGAAACACGAAGCACGTTGCGAAGAAAGAAACTTCAGTGAAATTCTAAAGCTGAAATCTTTGTTTGGTCTCTTCTCCAGAGCAGTAACAATGACCACAAAGATAAGTTGGTTCAGCCGCATAGAGTTTTGACAGAGCCTGTCGAAGACAGCTCACTTGTGAATAAGTGTGTTGGGGCTTCCAGCATTCCTAACCATTCGAAGAGAAACAGGCATCGGCAAAAGCGTTCGAAAAGAATTCGAGAATCGCTAAAAAAAAAATTCTGTTTGGTTTAACAGTGTCATGCACTGACACTTGACTAAAGGTGTGTCCACATTATGTATTAGTCCTGAGATAAGTTGCTCGTTGTGCTATTTTTTAGCTGAGCTTAATCTCAAAGAAATATTTTCATTTCTGCTGGTCTGGTGATTTAATCAGCATTTGGAGGGCACTTGCTTTGGCCAGATTGGTTTGGCTTTGTGTTCGACTTCGTCGTTCCAGTGATCCCCTGCAGGGCTCTGAAAGTCACCATGGGCAGAGAAAGCAGAACAGCCACAATTCTCAACAGTCAACCAGCATCCCTCCTTCCGAGCCGTGCTAGACTGCTCAAAACTGGATGCATTGTTTGGCGGCGGGGGTGCTGTTATGCCACAGGCATGATGCTCATTCGGGAGCGCTTTTTTCCGCAAGTACAAGCGCAGTTCAGGCGAACTCTCCCCTCTCCCCTCCCAGCGCCACCTTCCACGCAGAAGGCGGCACCGTGCAGTTCCGGGTAAAGCGTCGCCTCCTCCGTCGAGCCACCGTGCCATTATGGGGAAAGCTTCATCTTTTCCTCTAAGCACCGGGAACTGGTCTCGTAGAAGAGACCAAAACGTTATTTAGGGCCGTTTCGGCTCCATGTTTGAAGATTTTTGCCCCAGCAGACGTTGTCGTGCTTGCCGGCTCTGTACGAACTATAACCTGCTATAGTAAACGTTCCTACCTGCTGCTGTTTTCAAAACCGATTGCCTCCCTATTCCGCCCCTGGGCAAAGGCTTCAGCGAAGTTCGTTCATCTGCTCGCCACTTTCGGCTACTGCTACCATTGCAAGAAACAGAAAATTGTAACAGTGGGGGGCAGCGGTAGGACGCCATCACGGTAGGACGCCATCAAACCCGAATTTATAACAGTACAGAGACATACGAGACTAGCACTGGATTGTGTGACCTCTGCTCATTTAGTGCCAGTGCGTACTGAGGATGCAACCTGCATAAGTGCCAAAACGTCTGTGTAGATATTGTTATATTTTTCTTGTGTAAAGCCGGAATACATATTTTTGAATCACAGTAAGATATCTTGTGTTCAATAAAGGTTACAGGGGCCTGATTATTCTTATTCATCATCATGCCTTTTTCCCTTCTTTTGCTCTGTAACTACAAACTTCCCCAGACCTTCCCCAACTGCTTAATTCTTTTTTTCTTTCTTACACTCTTTTTAATAAGCAGAACAGCTTAAGAACTTGGACTGTCGTGTGTTGTGATCGCTTGGCATAATGCAGGCAAAATCACGAATAACATAGCCATCTATAGCATACTGAGCGTACGCTCGCGCAAAGGAGAAAGCAGCTTCCTCTTGTTCTTAGATTGCCTTGATGATGATACTGTCACTGGGTCGTGACGTGGACAAAAGGAGGACACTCGATGTTAAGATGAAGAACTGTTTATTCTGCCAAACTCGCCAGCGCTGCCAAGCGTCAGCGGGCCATCAACTAACAAGCGGTGAAGCGCGTCGCCATTTATACACATGGCATCCAATATTCTAGTGCTATCGCTAAGCGGTGATGTAACTTCCAGAATAATTATGTTCAAAAAGTGGGCATCATCTTATCAAAATAATCTACGAGTATCACGAACGTTCTCGAACAATAATGTGCAGTGCGCTGAGCATTCCTGACACAGAAATTAGGGGGCGAAAACCGAATCAAAGAAAAGTGAAAATGAGAAAAGCGTGTGGCAATACTAAGTGAAGATTATTTGAAGGGCCCAGGCTGTTGTATGCTGTCATTAATTGGAATAACGCAGGCAAAACCAGGCATAAATATAGAAAAATAAAAGAAAAAGCAAGCAAGAAATAGAAAGAGAAAAATAAATATAAAAATAGAAATATCAAGAAAGGGAAAAAAAAGGTAGAAAAAGTACATAAGAGAAAAGAAGAAATAACTGAAGAGATGCAAAGAAGGCTGCCCAACTCCACACTTTCTTCAGACTGTGCGTTGCTATAGAGCCAAGCTGCCTTAATTTTCAACATTGGGGTGGGAATTGCGGGGTATCCTACTAGCAGTTCATTGATTGTCTTTATTTAGGTTCATTTTGTGTCTGTTCTCACTTTGACGCTACGTGATGTAGCTGCCCAGACAACACAAAATGGCTGGAAAATGTTTTGCAGACATCTAAATATCTCATGGTTCCACATAAAGATGCTCCGATTATGCAGGTCACTGGACTATTCAAGGTCATGTGCTTTTGAAAAATCCTATAAAGCGATAAATTACAGTGAACATCATTGAAGTATTTTATATGCCGAATTCGCAATAAGAAAAAAAAGCTTTTACATGAAAGTCCTGTGATTTCTGTCTGTGAAATCAAGAATGCTAACATAAAATGTCTCAATACCTAATACTGAACCTATATAGAGTATTTGTGACATCGCTAGATCCAAGTGTGTGCACGTGTGAAATATGGTATGAGATGAAAGTAACAGAAATAAATAAGGCTGGCCTTGGTCTACATTCTAATTTTTCATACATTTATGTATATATAAACAGAGAAAAAAGGTAATAATCATATGAACTTTGCAAAGATATTTAAATATTTTTGTAGCATACTGCACATTTCACGATCAATACCTGAAAAGTTAAAGCATACTAAAAAGATTCACCGCGGTCTTCCCAAATGATTTTCAAATGATGCCTCAAAGCAAGCCATGAGGACAAGGTTACAATACATTGAAGGGCAGTCGAGAATGTCCTCGCATCAAATGTATTCTGAAGACATTTTTGATGTAAGTAACATGTGTTGTTTAAATTTTAACTAAGCCAGAAGTAATTAAACAATAACAGCTTCTCATTCTGTATAGGCTTGGGCAAATATCAGAATTCTTCGAATATTCAAAGGAATAATGCAGTATTCGAATTCACTTTGAATAAAATTTAATATATTGAAAATTTCAAATTATTTGAAAGGAACGAATCGGTGCACATTAGTCCACATGTAACATCTTGTAAAAGTAGTTTCACTGCAGTAAAGAAATGCTAAGCACTGAAAGCACCTAGTTAAATATACATATATTAATTCACATGTAACTTTTTGTAAAAGTGGCTTCACTGCTGTGAAGTCATGCTTAGCCATGAAAACACATAATAAAGAGAATTCCGCACTGCCACAAAACCTTACTACAAGGTTATATGAAGATATTACCCTCACATCAATTCATTTTTTTTTTCAGTTTAAAATCTTGTTATACAGAATTATATGCTCTAAGTATAACAAATTTTAGAACTCGACATATTTTACAGGCTATCACTTGCATTCTACAGAAAGTGAAATCCTTCTACTATTCAAGGTTGTTTCCAGTTCCTTTGATGCAAAAAGAAAAAATAGCATTTGAACAGGCCTTGTTTGAATTTCCAAAAAAAATTGTGCAGGTTAGTATGGTCATCACAAATATGCCCCTCTTTTTCTATACTATGCGATATATACACTATTCGAAATCGATTCAAAATTATTTGACCAAAATCACAATTGCTTCGAATTAGCTTTCAACCTAAAATTCACTATTCACCCAAGCTTCATTCTGTGAAATGCCTCAGAAAATCTGAATAACAAGTGTGCATGTGTAATTGCTTCTTTACTGTTTGCTGGTGCACATAATAAAAAAAAGTAACCAAACATCTAGTAGCAGTGGTGTAGCCAAGAGGTAGTACACTCGGTCCAAGACTGCCTCCCCTCGATTTTTTTTTTTTTTTGCCGTGGCATACAGAAAAAAAAATGACCCCCCCCCCCCCCCCCCCCTTCCCCTGCAAAAGATTTCTGCCTACTTTCCTGTCTAGCAGCACTCGCTGTTAAGCTAGTTGGTGCATCTCTGAAACCAAAAGTCGGCTTCATTGGCTATTGATTTCAGAAGACGAAGAAACACACAGGCAGAATGAACTTCTGGTAATCAAACATAAAGGCATGATTATTTCCCCATAAGTGTCTTGGAAAAGCTTGCCAAAATGAACACGCTGAGTTTCTAGCTCATGCAGCAGCAAGTATATTTCTTTCATTTTTGCTCATTGCTCACTTGCTTTTCCTGCAAGGTTCGCAACACTTGTTTTTACTTCTTGAATTAAAGTACTTATGAATTGATATTACATATTCACCAGGTTTGGTCTTTCTTTTTTTTTGAGGTTTATCATGTGAACCTCATTTACTGCTTATAAATTTCCCTGTCTTTATGAAACAACAACATACCATGCCTGCCAACCTGGAGAGCTTGAAATCCGGCAGATTCGTGAACTAAATGGGCAGGGTGGGGGAAACTGGCAAGAAGAAAACTGCTGTACTAAGTACTGTTTCTCACAGCTGTAGCGATCTCATAAGCGCATGATTGCCAGTAAAGTTTGTAGGTGTCAGCGATCATACTGGTGCTTGTCATTATATAGCATGTACATGTGTGTTTAATTAGGAGTCAAGATCTGCTGTGTCCCCCGACATCTATTATAGCCCCTGCTCACCTGCACGTTGCGCAATCAAATTCAGACTGCGGCGGCTGCATTTTTGATGGAGGCGAAAATGCTGTAGGCCCGTGTGCTCACATTTGGGTGAATGTTGAAGAACCCCAAGAGGTCGAAATTTCCGAAGCCCTCTACTATGGTGTCTCTTATGAGCATATGGTGGTTTTGGGACGTTAAACCACACATATCAATCAATCTATTATAGCGCCTTGACCATCTTAATTCACTTTTTTGCAAGACAACACTGTATTGGGGTGAAAGTGACATGCATTGAACATACGATCATAGCATTTTTAGAGCCGACGTCTTTAGTTTTCTTTTAACTTGAACCTATACCTGCTTTAAGGAAGATTTATGACCATTGACATACAATGGCGAAGGTTACCTGAAATTCTGGAGGCCCCTTGATAAATCGGGAGAGTAGGATTGTACGCCTACCTGCCAACTGCCTCCTGGTGGACCACTGCCAATGACAACGTGGTCCAGTGCTTTGGATGAATCGTGAACCCAACTCAGAGTGGAAGGCTCGTCAGAGCCAAGATCAGCATCGGGATGGCACAAGGTGTCTAAGAGCAACGACACCGGGTTGCACGAGCGTCCCTCGAGGCCAGAGCTCAATGACGAGAGGTCCTGCATTCCAGAATGACAGAATAACAGTAGGCAGAATTCGATGAAACAGATGGAAGACAAAAACAAACCATAATCATTTGAGTGTCTCCAGTTTAGAAGCTTAGTGGCTTTTTTATCTGCAATATTAAAGTATATATTGCCATCCCTTTGTTTTTATCTCTCTTTTCATCATATAAAATAGAACAAATGCTCATAAATCAAAAAGTGTATTTTAGCACACTTTTAAAATCACCACGTTCAAGCACGCTTTACAAGATGTCGTATTAGTGTTTCTAGCGAGATTTACTTTGTTGAAGACACATCATTTTGACGGTTTCATTGGAGTTGCTTTCTAATTATTGACACGGTTTGGTTCACTATAAACATTTTACAGAAAATATACTGCAGCAAAGTATCTACATGACTCATACAAGGCTTTATACTCCAACCCCTTTTTATACTCCAACCCCTTTATAAGAAACACTGATATAAAACAAAAATGGGTATAAGAGGCACCAGTGAACCTAAAGTAAAAGCCGAGCTGAAAAAAAAAATGCATACGAGGTACCCTGCTTATAAGAGACATCTCATATAAAACACAAGAGTTGCTGCCTGGAGTATGCCTCTTATAAAGAGGTTTAATTGTATATACTAAAATTATAGGTCTAAAGCAGCAATTACATAAAATTTTAAAGCAAACTGCAAAACAAAATAAAACCTCTAGGAATCTGCCAACTTACAGAGAAAACTTATCTTATACATATCCAACATTTGGTAAAGTCAGAGTATGCAAGGCAGCATACTCGTACCATTAATCTTTCTTATATTTATTAACAATATGCTGCTCAATAAATCTCCCACCATCATGTATAACAATAATAAAGCAGTATTGCTCTAACAGGCCTTTAAATGCCTTTTTTACAATGCTGCAAAATATCATGGGTATGGGGAGGGGATCCTCTTTTCATAAATGTACTATAGTGACTACAAATACCAACTTTACATCGTGATAGTTGAGTGCAGTAGTGAATACTAATGTGTAATTAAAAATAAGTTTTTATCAGACCAAAAATAATATCAGGTTTAACTGTAAATGTAGTTCCTTATCTGAACCCAGGATAGCCAGCACTTTGTCATCAGCCCCTTGCCCAAAATAGGGTAGGACACTGCATGTGCAGCCAATAATGTAATATATTTTCACTGTCTCCAGTAAAATAAATATTGCACACATCTAACCTAAAGGGAACTCTCAGTAGTATGCGAAGCAGCTATGGGTTGACTTGACATTCTCTAAAGAGGTGCTCTGTATTCATCACCATAGACGTTCATGGTTGTGTTTCCTACATCATAAACTTGAAGCTACAATGTCGATAAGTACATTGGCATTCTGGACCACAAGGGTTGGCTTGCCGGCGCTTGCGTCTCACTTCAGCTTCGAGCTCTCAACTCTGGGTCTTGCCGGTGCTTCCACGCTGCAGCCACTTTGCAAGCCCTCGCCTCCACCACACTCATGCTCATGTCTTCATTCATGCTACTACGCTGTATGTGTGAAAGAGAGAAGAGCAAGTTCTTTTATTATTATACAGAGCAGCGCAGCGCTGGTCTACTCGTACCGAAGCACACGCTTAAATGACGCGGATCGAGTGCTCTACCGCAGAGCCATCTATGGGCAGTCCGAGTACTAGCGGCGGCTATGGCATGACAAAAGATAGGCCTTATTCATAAGCTGATCTTCACATCTAAAACTACATGTTGCGAAGGAACAAGCCAGAACCCCAGAAATGTTCTGTATAAATGTAGAACTGTATGCTGGCAAGATGACTGCTAATACTTGTATGGTACAGATGTGTTAATAGGGCATGCTCATTTTCTTACCTGTTCAACTAGAGAAAGATCTCGATTATCTTCAAGTCTTGCATGTAGGTACGGGTTTGGGTGACAGGCACCAGGTGCGTAGTACGGCCAATTACCAGCCAGGAAGTATGACATGGTGATGCCCGATGGCCCATTGCCTGAATAGATCAGATCAGAACCATAATATGAGCACTGGTTATATATACATAATGCCAGATTGCTAAAAATGATTTTTGCACAATACCCGCACTAACTTCTTCTGTTATGTGATTAGGATAAATATAAAAGTGCCAAATATTATACCTATAGTGCATTATTTTTTAATAACTACTAACTACAGAAATATCGTATTTACACAATTATAAGTTGACTTGAATGCAAGTCGACCCCCGAAAATGGCACGGCATAAAAAAAAAGAGAAGAGCACGAGCACATTTCAATAAAAAAAAAAAACATAACACATTGTGAAGCAACCAATGTGTGAAGGTGGCTTCACGGCAGTACCTAAAAAATGTGCACAAAAGCTAGCTTTGCAGAAATACGCGGAGATCATTTTCAGGAAGACTTCACAACCGAAACTCGTTTTCAATTCAAGGTTCAAACCCCCCCCCCCCCCCACCTCGGATTTCAAATGAAGACAAAATCAGTCGACCTTACAATCGCGTAAATACCCTCTATATATGTATATAAGCAAGGGGTGGGAGGACAAAGTCTGCTTTATAGGTTTACTCAGTTATGGTGACTGAGGCTTCTGACCGTTATGGCACTCAACGGTCCTTTAAGTTGCACTACAAGATCTGATTAATATGTTGGGTTTAACGTCCCAAAACCACCATATGATTATGAGAGACGCCGTAGTGGAGGGCTCCGGAAATTTCGACCACCTGGGGCTCTTTAACGTGCACTCAAATATGAGCACACGGGCCGACATTTCCGCCTCCATCGGAAATGCAGCCGCCGCAGCCGGGATTCGATCCCGCGACCTGCGGGTCAGCAGCCGAGTACCTTAGTCACTAGATCACCGCGGCGGGGCGCACTAAAAGATCTGTTTACTTCCCATCTTTATTTCAGCTCAAAGAGCCAGGGGCCAAAAGTAGGCCACTATGAGAAGCTACGTTTTCATTTTTTTTTTCATCCATTCTGAAACGTGTTATCCCCTACCAACCAGGGGCGGGGGAGGGAGGCTGCGATGAAACTTGGCCCACCCCTCCCCTCTATGCGGAACAACGCACACGCACACTGCAACAAACCTCGTTTCGGGATTCCACAGCTTCTCAAGTTTGCATTTTGGAGTCTTCGGCACTCCGCTGGTGCACTGCCTCAGCTTTGCGAGCTCGACGTTTGAGCGCATGTGAAGATCACGTGCCGCTAAGAAGGCGTATATATAATTGGCTAGCGAGAACATCTAATATCATCAGGAGTGGCACCAGGATTATTTTACAGGGGGCACCCACAATAAGTCAATTCCTTCAGGGGGGCAGGGAGGTGGAACTTGGTCATTGTGTTGTGTGGCGGCAACAATTTTGGGAAAGCTCCCGTACAGCCACCCCACCCCCCACCCCCCCTTCACGTGCCCACTCTTTGGCGCCGCCTCTGGATGTCATGAATTCGCCACCAGATTTGACAAGCGTGTGCTTCCACCTGATTTCTCAAAGAAAGTTTATGTGAACTGCCGGCTCCGTGATGACGGAGTGGCTATGAAAAAGAGAAAAGAAGAGAAAAGCAAGCCCCGTTATTGTCTGCAGGCTTCAATGAGCGACACCGCCACAGTAGCTCACGAGGGATGGGGGTGAGGAGGGATAAAAAGGATAGGAGTAAAGATGTGGGAAAGCCGAAGAAGGAGAAGAGAAGAAGAGACGTGTGGTGGTAAGCCACAGCGAGCGAGGACAAATCGAGGGGATAGAAGAGATAGGAAAGATGGAGCACGGTCATTGGAGTCCGAGGACGGGGCGCACCTGCGAGAGCTCCTTTCGGCGTCGGTGGATGGCGTAGAACAAGTCCAGTAAATCAGAGCTGCACTGTCGTCGGATGACGTTTTAGGGGACGCTTCGTGATGTAAGTGCTCCGCGTGAAAGGCAAGCGCTTACAGCTGATTGGTCGATAAACTGACCTACCGGCCGGCTCAGCCAATGCTCAGATACGTACTACTAGGCGGCGGATGCTGCTGCTGCCTCCTCTGCCCTTCGAAATGCGACATTCCTTGCGACCACACAGCAAGTCTCATACGATGCGCTTCATTTATTTTGGCGGCTGATGTCAACATACCTATGACCGAAACGTGATACGTTCAAAACCAAACCACACTAACGGTGCTGCGATTTCCGTGTACACTTACAAGTCACGTAGCTTAGCTGGTAAGCACTTGACGTCGTATTCGCCGTGTTGAAGGTCAGCGTTTTCGCTGCAGGCGCAAAAACTCTCTACACGTGCTGTGTCCGAAATTCGTACTCGGATGACTAGAGACAACCGGAACAACTCTTGCATCCGACATACGGACGGCGCGCATGAACGGACCATCAATAAAGCGCGGCGGTGGTGTGGCCACCTTGCGATCACAGCTCAGGGAACGGGCGCTGCCATGTTTGAACACATGCCCCGCCGCGGTGGTCTAGTGGATCCGGTACTCGGCTGCTGATCCGCAGGTCGCGGGTCGAATCCTGGCTGCGGCTGCTGCATTTTGGATGGGGGCGAAAATGCTGTAGGCCCGGGTGCCCAGATTTAAGTGCACGTTACGGAACCCCTGGTGGCCGCAATTTCCAGAGCCCTCCACAACGGCGTCTCATAATTATATGGTGGTTTTGGAACGTTAATCTCCCCATATCAATCAACCAACGTTTGAACACGCGATCTAAAGGCTTTTTCCTTTCCACTTCACCGTCGACGATGGCCGGCCGATTCGCCGCCGCCGCTCCCGGATTGAAGACCAGCAAAGCGGTCGCAGCGCATAGTCTGCGCAGCCTGTTTCTCTCTCTCTTTTTTTCTCTTAGACACTGCGCCGTGTCGCGTTATGGCTGACAGAAATCGGGTGCCTTTTTTCATTCTTTAAGAATCACTGCCACCACCGTTTCTCGCCGTAGGCTGCAGGGAAACGTCCGCCCCACGCCACATCGCGGCCGCGCCGCCGAGGAGCCGGCCGTGGCCAACGTTTATAAATATATATCTATAAACGTTGGCCGTGGCAGTGCGGTGGTGCCATCTAGTTTTGAATATACAAATTAGCTGTGAAAAACTGTCTATAATAATTCGGAACACTGGCACAGCCGGAGAAAAGGTAGATGTTCATCCCAACCACTCACCCGGAAAATTTTCAATATTGCATGCGTACAGCACACACACGAACGCACGAACGAGCTCAGACTACCTATAACTAACCTCCAACCCCCTACCCACCCACGGGAAAAAAAAATTCTGGCTGCACTACTATTGTTCAGTATGCGAACTGCTCGCTCTACGTCACTTCATTGGCCAGGTTTGCTTCTGCTGCGAACCCGACAAATCAAGCAAGGGCTTTGGGAACAGTCCCCCAGTAAGTCCCGAGTAGCTCCTTCGAAGGTGGCCCTTGCCAACCTGAAGAAAAGGCGGTTGTTTCTCGTTTAGTTTGAAAATGAGGAAGGGGGAGGAAACATAGGTTCGAGCAAACATAGTTGCTTAGTCTAGTGTTTAATGTCTCAAATTGACTTAGGCTGCACGAAACGCCATTATGGAGGAATCCATGTCACATGGATTGAATTTAGACCACCACGGAGTTCGTAAACGTAACATCGAAATGCGATCGCCACGACCGTGATTGAATCCGCGTCATTCGGGTCAGTAGCGGAGCACCGTGACCACTGGGTCACCGCGACGAGGCAAAAACAACGAGAAAAGAAGACTACTTACCAATAACAACAACCTCCTTGTAGACGGCCATATCTACACGTACGCCTTGAATTTCCTAAAATCAAAGAAATATGAGCAGTTACGAATGTGCTCTCGACACAGGAAGTATACTCACACGGTAAACACGTGTTGGACTGCAGCAACACACAATTATGTAAGACATAGTTGAGATTTGAGTGGACTGCGCACTTGCCCATAGGCTCAACAGGAACCGTTTGCTTGATGGGGCCTATTATTAGGCCTGGGTATCCTCGATTTTAAAGTTACTTTATAATGGAATAAGGCATAACTTCTCCGTTAGAAAAAAAAAAAGATTTGTATGCAATATACTGTTCACATATAAGCAAAGCAGTTGTTTTCGGCCAGTATATTTCAAAAAAAGTTTTTGACTGTTTTATTGATTATGTATCCGCGATATATGCAATCGTCGAATCGATCGTGAAGGCTGCCTCTCATTGCCACCTCTTTTTCAAGCTTGTCTGCTAACAAAATAAAACTCTCGACGTGACGGCGATGCACACGGCGAACATTAACGGCCGCGTTCAGCTGCGATTAAAATGAAAAAGAAACTATTGTGTTTAATTCTCCAAAATCAAATGGACAAACATTCATCAACCAGATATTCTTGGCATGACTGGCAGGTAGTCAGCCGGAAGGTATTTGATAGCTGCAACCGAACGTTTGACAAAGTATAAGGTCCGGCTCACGCAGTAGAAATCATGTACTATCAGCGTCAAATTAAAGCCGAACAGCGGCAAGACTTCGCGATGATATAGCCGTCCACTTATCAGCAAGGACAGGCACGCACATATGCGCAGAGCTCCCAAACAGGATGCGCGCGCCTGTCGATGGTGATAACTGGACGGCACGCACTATGCCATCGTGACGGCTTGCCGCTGTTCGGGTTTCATTTGACGCTGATCGAACATGTGATGCGCAAAAAAAAATACTGACCCCCCCCCCCCCCCCCCATCCCCCCAATGACTTCTGACAGCAAAAAGCTAAAGGAAAACGCAGCCAGAGCTTGCTTATTGAAGAGTATACGCATATAATATAGCTAGCCTCGCGGAAGTTCTGTATCCCATCCTTGATTGATTGATATGTGGGGTTTAACGTCCCAAAACCATTATATGATTATGAGAGACGCCGTAGTGGAGGGCTCCGGAAATTTAGACCACCTGGGGCTCTTTAACGTGCACCCAGATCTGAGCACACGGGCCTACAACATTTCCGCCTCCATCGGAAATGCAGCCGCCGCAGCCGGGATTCGAACCCGCGCCCTGCGGGTCAGCAGCCGAGTACCTTAGCCACTAGACCACCGCGGCGGGGTAGTGTATCCCATCCTTGAAAGAACCACGTCAAGTAGCGTATATAGACGAAAGAAAAAAAAAAGTTAGTTCCACAGTTGGTAAGTTCGTCGAAAATAAAAAAAAAATACGCAAACTAGCATTATACTTGCTTATATATGCACATGAGTCATTCGCGCGCATTATTTTTTCCTTCATATATTGAGGAAACTCCACCACAACCAAGTTTTCACTTATGTAAACTTAACTGCTGTTTGTAGACATTGAAAAATAACCAACCAAAAAAAGATTGAGATGTTGGTAACCATCTGTGGAAGACATTTGAAGAAGGATGAAAAGAAAACAGTCGAAAACCACCCGTTCCTGCATCAAGCAGCGTCGCCGTTGGAGGCGTTACTGAAATAAAAGAGAAAAAAAATACCAGGAGGATCAAATTCTCATGTGAAGGTGCCCCCGCTTACATGCCAAAAGCAGGAGGCACCTCGTAACCTAGGCAGACATTTACCAGCCAATGCATCTTTAGCACTACCTCGGTCGACTAGGACCGTCCAGGAGCCCTGTGAAGTGTTCGGAAACCTCTCGCTCCCTTCCCCATTACAGGCGAGTTCCTCAATGGGCCCCTAGCCCCTCCCCAGGACTCAAATAAAGTTTGTCAAAGTGACCGACTGAACGGGATTTGAACCCGGGCCCTCTGCGTGGCAGCCCAGTGTTCCATACCACAGAGCTCGAAACTCTTTCGCAAAAAGACATACCGGCATCATGTCGGACAAGGAATCGGTTAACCTACGTAATAGAGCATGACAGAAGAGTAAAATGACAACCAGTCATCTCACAATGCTAATTGCGCAACGAGTGTACGGTTTAATCCCACTCACTGGAAAGCACTCAGCCATAATTCATCGTCATCATTTCCCGCGATCTTGTGGAAAGCGGCAAGTGATCTCACTTGCACCAAGCATCGTGTTTATTTCGGGCTGTGCGCAAGAATAGCGCAATAATCCAACCTATCTTAATTTGCACAGTAAACAACTCAGGCACTGCGGAGCTTCGTCTTGCAGCCAGGTGAACCTTTCGCCCGCCTGCAAAAAGCAGCTCCGCAGTGTTTGCACCCGAGTTTGCCATTATTTCCCCGACGGGAAATACAGTCAATGCACACGCGTGAAAACGGCTGGTTTGGCACAATCGACATGTCACGATCTTGTCAATTCACACCACCAAACAAAATGGGAAAACATTCGCTTAACAACCAAAGATGGCGGAGGTAATGCGTCGAATGTAAAAGCGTTCATAGTTTAAGAAAGAGTAGGTAAGAACCATACATCACACACACAAAGCCAGCAGTCTACTCGTGTATCTTAAACTATTTGCCGTTTTTCCATGACCAGACTGTCCTTCCACGCGCCTTGTCGTCACTTCCTTGTCACGCAAGTTCCGGTTTGACGTGACAGAGTGGTCGCATTTTTTGCGCGCCGGGCACTGTACTGCCAATTTTGATATCAACATTGAAATTCAATTGTGAGTACATCAAATTGAGTGCGCATTTAGTGATTTCTAAAGAAAGACAAAATGTATGTCATAAAAAAGTATGTCATAAAAAATGGCTTAAGTCAATACTTTAAAAACTGAGAATTTTTTGTTAGTCAGTTACACTTCAATTTAGCTGTGACAAATCGATTCCATCTCGACGTATAGCGTTCACCTGCAAAAACAACCGAATCCTGACTGCGATAGAAATTTTATTAAAGATATGTATTGCTGTATTGCATAGAAAAGTATCCTGCATAACCTTGCTGTCTCTTTAATTGGCATTCTATGACTAGAGGTCAGTGCTAGTTTGTAGCGATTGATTCTTTAATTTAAATAAGCCGAAAAAATTACTTCACGTACCAATTTCAGCCATATTTGCTGACACCAAAAGGGTAGTCAGCAGTCGTGGCAGGATGGTAAAAGTAGAGGCGAAGAAAAAAAAAGTATAAAGACAACTTACAGCAAACGTCATGCGCACGCAATCTGATCAGACAATATTTCACCCTTATGAAATCGGCGACGTCAAGGATATTTCCATTTATAGGCTCTTACGTATGGCGATAAGTGAAGGCTCATGAACAAGGTGAAATCAGACACCACGTTACTGCGTACACGCGCGTCATATCGGGTTACAGATTAATGATTGATATGTGGGGTTTAACGTCCCAAAACCACCATATGATTATGAGAGACGCCGTAGTGGAGGGCTCCGGAAATTTCGACAACCTGCAGGGTTCTTTAACGTGCACCCAAATCTGAGCGCACGGGCCTACAGCACTTACGCCTCCATCAGAAATGCAGCCGCCGCAGCCAGGATTCGATCCTACGACTTGCGGGCCAGCAGCCGAGTACCTTAGCCACTAGACCACCGCGGCGAGGCTATCGGGTAAAAGGTACCGCACGAATGCTGACGAGTGTGGAGTAATGAGAGAGAGCATGCATGAAAATGGGCATCTTGCAGTCACAAATTGGACATGCCTGATGAACATGAATGCCGGATAGCGGTCGGAACGCTCGAATAAAAAACATTGTTACGTGCGGTATTTATTTATTTTCTTTTTTCATTTTTACAGTTCCGCCTCCAATGCGGGTTCGCTTCGATTCCCAGTGCCTCCGGCTTCTCTAATGGGAAGACAGGTACATCGGTCGAGCGCTTGTTGTTGTTGGCCCTCGTATCTCGATAAGATGACCTACCTTTTCCGCGGGATTCTCCCTCCCGTCCCTCCTTCCTTCAAAGACGCTGATTAACGCTCCTTTATGATATAGATTGCAAAAATAGGTCTTTGCTATAACCAAAGCAACACTGATTGGCGAACAGCATGCAACTTTAACACCGCATTTTGCGTAGTGCTTTTCTCCGCAGACACTTCCCCCTTCTTACCATTCTCCCTTCGACAAACATTAGGTTAAAAAAAAATATCACTGGGCTAGTTGGTCGTGTATAAGCGGGTGAGATAAATTAGTGAAGAAAGAGGATAAAAAAACAAGGAACGCCTTTCTTCGTATTCTTGCTTCCTATGTTTGCTCTAATTATATGAATTAATTACACATCAAGAGGCCTGTAACGAAGGCATAACTGCCTCGACGTCCAGCCGTGCGCGTTCGCATGAACAGTCGCTTGAATTTTTCTATATTTTGTAAGACAGCGTATAATGCATACAAAATATAGCATGGCATTACAGTTATGACATGATAGCGGTACGTACGCCGGGCACTAAATTATACGCTGCATAGAATAGTCAATGACAATAGTACGCATGTAGTTCAGTTTCGTATAATTGAAATATAACCGCTTCTCATACATTTCAAAATAAGTTGAATCTGTTCACACTTTTACGTACAGATATGGTAGTAGAACGCAGCCACCTTTCACCGATTAAGTTGGTAAAAATTTTAGTTTTGATAAGAGTGGCGTCCTCTCCACGAAAGAGATACACATGACTAAAGCGGCGCGTCGGCGCTAAATTAAGACGGACGAAAAACGGATGTAAGACTACTGACCCTGTCTGCACGGTCGAAACTTCCTTCCCTTCGAGATAATTGCCCCCACTAAGTCGGCGCGTCAAGCCGGCAGGGTACCAGTCCCACGTACGACACATGTCTACATATCACATTTCAAAGCAGACACACGATGCACTTGCAGGCCATTCGACTCGGCGGGCGAGGTGAACGCGCTGGCCGTGGAGGCTTCTGCGAAGTTTCGGCGCTACACGCGATCACG